GGAGGGGGGGTGTAAATAGCCAGCACGACACCTCTTCAACACGAGTGTGCCGTGCTACAAAGCCATGGATACACTGTGGCAAGTGTGTTATGAGGCTGCTTACGCACGCGCATGGCTCGACAGGTGCCTGGGTTCAAACCCCAGTGGCAGCAGTTGCATCCTGAATTTTGATAATATAAAATCCGGGAGTGGGGCGGGGCGGGGTAGTGGGGCCGCGTGGCGCGCGCGCGCGTTCGGCGGCCTTGGCCTTGGCGCACGCGTTGTGATGCGGCTTCCTTTTTCGCCACGTGGAGCTCTTCTGCTGCATCACCTTTCTTCGTTGTTTTTCCCGGTTTTTCGCCTGAAAACGGCCGGAAAACAGCCAAAAACCCGACTGTCGGGTTTTGCCGTATTTCCCTGCTGTGCGGTGTGGTGGGTGATATCGGACCCACCAGGTGTGGTGCTCCGCTGGTGTCAGAGATGGAGATGGAGGAAGAAGGAGGGAGCAAGGTGCACAGCGCAGCTCCCCACGCAAGACTCCAACGCACGTACTCTAAAATGTGCAAGTGAAGAATGAGACTGAAAACAGACAATGGCTGGGGTATACCCCAGCGGACTGACGGGACTGGACTGGACTGGCTGGTACCGACAGAGGTACCGGCCTGGACTGGCCTACCCCAAATACAACACAGGCCTGTGAGAACAGGCCAAGGGGCTGGTCTCACAGGCCAACCCGAGGTCCGCTACAACCGTGGACATCCAGGAAACAGCGAGGGTCAATGGCGCAAACAGCCGATCGCAGCTACCGACAAAAGCAGGGTAATGTATTCCATCGCGGAAGACACTGCGCAATCGGGAGAGCGAGGGCGGGCTGAAGTATTCGAATCTGCCGACCATTGGGCGCTTTCCCGCTACTGCCGAAGGGCAGCGACGCAAGACAGCCCCTTTTCGACATCGCGGAGGATGGCAGGCCGCCAAAGGGGACCGTTGGCGGAGTATTCCATGACGCCGACCGCTGCCAATCGGAGATG